GTTATACCACATTTGATTGTCATTATGCCCTTCTGGGAATTAAATATTAACTATGTACATGTATTCATCCACACAGTGGAGGAAATATTATTATAGCACTGTGTGAGTAGTGACATAACATCTTACACCCTACTAGGGATAAAACCTTTGTATTAGGTGTGTGTGGTAGCATGAAAACACAGTAGTCTGGATGTTGTCCACAGTCCTCAAATTTTGGCCTGTAGAACCCCAAATTTCAATATAATAGTTCTAGTAAATCTCAACTTAAACATTAATGTAATCAAATCAAATATAAAACTAAAGCGATTACCTTTTATCTAGCTTGTTAAAACAATCAGTCCACAGACACAATCATAACATCATAACAGGCACCTTCTGAGCAACAGCTTAACATATGTGAATCCAGGAGCTTTGCTATACATAAAGCTCTACTGGGGCACAGGCCCCCACGTCCCTCATGTAAATTTTTTATTTATTTTTGACTAAAGTGTATGAAATGTGTTAGTATGTGTCTTACCAGCTTCCCTTGCTTAGGTCATTAATATTGGTCATGTCAGAAAGGGATTTTACTGGAGCATAAGCACACATACCTGTTTTATGTATGATGTTACCTGTGAGCTATGTAAACAATTTGCCACTGCTGCACAGTCACACCTGACACTGCATTGCTGTCACTACTACCTTTAAAACAGTCAGTCTGTTATAAGCCTGAATGGAAACCTCTTGTAGAAAATCTCTGGCTGTCCTGGTACTGTAACTGTGCTCATACTAGCTTATGATACAGCATCTACTTTACTGACAAATTTAAGCATAGCCCCTGTAAATAATAGATACTTGCTAGATATTCATGTAATCAACTGCATCAGGCCCATTCAAACTGGCTCCCAGGTTTCCTTTAACATTTTCAAAGCTAAAATACTATTTATACAAAGGCTGAGTGGTATGGCCAAAAATGTTATCGCGATAAAAAAATTCATATAATTTGATATTGATAATTATCAGGATAAAAAATCATGTTTTTTATCAAGCTTAAAGGCTTTTTTTAGCTCCTCAGTGAAAGCTGAAGAAACCAGATAGTTAATTGTGGTTTAAACTTTTCTTTATGGTCAGAACATGAAAATTATTAACCAAACAGTGGATCACTTCACTTAAATCTGAGGTAGAACATTCAAAATAATTATGTTAAAATCTTTTTTCAACAAATATGCATGAGTAAAAATAAGTGAAATCTTTTTTCAGGCCAAGTGCTAATGAATATTTATTTGCATTAACAACAATTAACATTTGTTATATTGTTATTGAGGAAAATTATACTTAGATAATGATTGTTAGGCTATTTTTGTATTGTACAGTCCTAAATTATACTATGACCTGACTGAATAAGTCATGTTTATTATTTACAATAAGCAGAGGCAGAGTCCAGCAGAGGGGAAGCTGAGCCAGGGAGAGGCCTACTATTAGCTGAAGATGAGGGATTTTATGCGCACACATACACACACTCACACTGTTCTATTTTATGGGACTGTGTTATAGTTTTGTATTACATTTAACTATTTTAGCACTCTGACTGGCTGTACACATGAGATGGCTAGTGGGAGTGACTGTTACCTGCCACGGCTGAAATCCACCTGCATTTGGCGGGTTAGCGGGTAGGCGGGTGTTAATGTCAAGCCCTGGTTACTATCCATAGAATGCCTACTCGTGCAGCACAAGTCGCAGGGTCAAGCGACTATGTTGTGATTTTAAGAACGTTTAAGACCAACATCTTTCCCAGTACTAGTCAGTATGCAGTAGCTAGTGTGTAGCTATCCACTTCCCTATGGCATTTGATCGCTTGTCTTACTTCTCCCACACGCTGCATCCAATGCAGTCTGCCGAAGCCTCCCTCCACTGCTTATTTGGGTGGGTGATTTGCAGGTTGATCAACATCCCACACCTCCTGTGACCCACGGTTTGACTGTATATGTGTAGCCTATTCAGAGCCAGTGAGCAACAGCCTTTCAAAATAATAATAATAAAAACTGAGTGAGATAAAATAATTGTCTGCGTTAATTAGTTAATGCGCGATAATAACGCGTTAATGTGCCCGGCCCTAATAGATACATACCTGTTCAAATACCTTTGTTTGAGCTTGAAGCTCAAGGCAGGTCTTCTTTTCCGCGAATATGTGCTCATTGGCTTGCACTTTGACCTCCCCATCCTGCCTCTTCTTCCTCGGACCCCGGATTCCCACACTCCTCTGCTTCACCCTCAATTTGGGGCCTGTTCCGTGTTTGCACTTGGCTCTGGAGTGCCATCCTCAATAAAGACAACAATGCTAGGTAGGTAGTTAGATTTATTTTGTCACAATAAAACAGGTTATAGAGTGAAATTGAGTTTGTAACTCCCTTCTGCCACATAGCAGACAATATACATTAATATAGAAGCAATTGTAAAAATGGTAAACAGAAATAAACTATATTCAGTGGAGCAGTGCTGAGGATGAATTAAAGCTTAAAAGGCTGATGGCTTGGGGGAAAAAAGCTGCTCTGCACTCTGGTGGTACGACAGCAGGATGCTTTCTATTGCTTCGCTATAAAATATGACAACAACTTGGCGTGAGAATTTGGCCTTCTTAAAGGAGACCTATTATGCTTTCCCACATTTTCTGACTAATCTACAATGTTATAATGTTGGATTTTCATGTTAAACATGGCCAAACTTTAAAAAATGAGGTGAGCAAAACCTCAGGTTTCCTCCTGTTCTGAACGCTCTGTTTTGAACTGCTTTTTCTACCAACAGATCCGTTCTACGTAATACCGAGCCAGACGGAGCCGGTGTTCCATATATGGTCATGTGCTCCCACACTAACGGCACGGCAACGCTCAGTCTGCCTGTTCCGCCCAGCAACAACAACAGCCTGGTAACATGCTTCAGGTCTTGGCCAATCAGAAGACAGTGGGCTTTGAGAGGGCGGGGTCTTAAAGTGACAGGAGCATCTACAGCTTGTTCAGACAGAGGCTGAAATGAAGGCCTACATGAGGAATCAGTATAAGAAAAACATTTTTTTTTGTACTTTGAATCATGCAAAGCTGCCATACAGGAGACACAGAACTACAATATAGGACTGGAAAAGCATTATAATAAGTCTCCTTTAAGCTTCCTCGAGAATATAGTCGTTTCGGAGCTTTCTTCAACAGTGTGGTGATGTGAGATGACCATGTCAGGTTCTCTGTGATGCTGATATCCAGGAACCTGAAGCTGTTCGCCTGCTCCACCTCAGCCCCACAGATGTAGACAGGAGTGTGAGTCTTTATCTAATTTTTCCTGAAATCAACGATCAGCTCCTTGGTTTTGCTGACGTTGAGCAGTAGGTTATTCTCTGTACACCATTCTACAAGATTATGAATTTCCTCCCGATATGAAGTCTCATCGTTGTTTGAAATGTGGTCGATGATGGTGGTGTTGTCCACAAACATCACAAAAAAGTATGCTCAGCCCTGAGCTGAGCACACAGCCCTGGGGGGCTCCGGTGTTGAGCACTAGAGTGGAGGAGGTGAGTCCGCCAATCCAAACTGTCTGGGGTCTGTTTGAGAGGAAGAGGAAGTCCAATATCCAGTTGCAGAGTGTTTTATTTAAAACCAGAGTGCTGAGTTTGCTGATCAGTTTCATTGGGAGATTGTGTTGAACGCTGAGCTGAAATCCACAAACAGCATTCTGATGTAGGCGTTGTTTTTCTCAAGTGTGAGGGCTAAGTGGAGGGCAGTGAAGAAGTCAGTTATGCTGTCATCGCTCTAAAGTGCAAAACAACGTGTATGTTTTGAGTCTTACACAAAATTTACATTTGTGTAACTGACAGCAATGGGAAAATGTGTTTCAATGCAACCTATTTTTATTTTAGCCTAATGTTACCGCTGCTATCTGTTACTGCAAGTTAGATGCCAGATACTGAAGTGATCAAACTCAATCAGTTTTAACCTCCCCAATATCAACATGCTACCTTGATAGTGAGTACTAACCGGTAGGTTAGTTGTTTATTGTCATAATGATAAAGTTAAATGTTGTCTTTCCAATGATTCAGACTTGATGTGATGCTGCTGCACTCGCTCTGGTAAACTCATCCTCCAGCTGAGCGTTGAGTTGGGAACACACATTCACATGTTTTTGGGGGTGTGGTTTTAGAAGGAGCCCAAAATGGAGGGGAGGGGAGGGGGTGGGAGTTTTTCTGTTGGATACTTTCAAAACCTAGCAGTTTCTTGCTGGTATCTCAAACTTACCTACCCTAATTCTAACGTGATTTTTTTAATTTAAGTTAATATTTGACTGATCTCTCCTCGTCATAATGAGGTGCCATCACATCTAGTTCAACTAGTGGATGTGCTGCATTCATATGAACACACACACACACACACTTCATCTACTTCTGAGCTTTAGTGTGAATTCCCATAAGGCTGTGGGGTCTGTGAAGGGCTCTGGGAATAGAAGCTGAGGCACTGTGACCTTTCACCAGCCATGGCTTCTGGGAGGTCTTTAAGTACACTCTCTGGAGTGTTATGTGCTCACAACATGGACATTTGTGTAACTTGCAGCTGTCTTTGGCTTAATTATTTAATAATTTACCACAACATGGTATGCTATTTGCATAATACTATCATCTGACTGTAAGTAATGAAAAATTGCAAACAATGACAGAAATATTAGACAAATAATGGCATGTTGTATACACATGTGCACATACACATTTGTCCTCACAACTGTTAAGAAATATATACACATTACTAGTCAAAATGGTATGTTTAACATGTGACTGGAAACTCCAGTCAATGAAATACACCCTTCTGATGCACTGTGCGCATATGCAAAGTATATGGATAAATTTTTTGGAGGAATGTGAGAAGGACTAATTCCTTAACATGCTTTGCAGAATATGGTTATTAAAGCTTTAATTCTCATGAAAATGATTAACTTGAATCTTGTAGGCAATCCTGTTTACAGCTAATGTTTCTTCTCTTTCTGCGCAGGTCAGAGGTCAGTGAAGGCACCAGTGGACCGAGATGATGTCCATGCAAAGTAAGTTCTCTGTAGATGTCTGCTGCGTACATTTAAAGCACATACACACAAAGTTCACATGAGCTTTTAACGTAATGTGGGCTACATAACTACCACAGCTAACATAAGGCTAGCAAACAGTAGGGAACCAGGCACTGCACAGCACAGTTGATCGCTGCTGCCACCAACACTGTGTAGCTAGTAAACTGCCTCATCTACTTGTGGATTTCTTTCTACAGAGTACATGTTTGACAAAACGTTCCACAAATGCATTAAAGAGAAGTCACAAATGTAACACGACCCACAAATTAATAGGAAGCAATCCACAGTGTGCAGAAACCGTTTCTTGTGTAGAAATTGATCCACACATACTTAAATATCTCTGTACATGTGAAATTTAAATATATGTTTGCAGAGTAAATTGTCCTTATCAAGCTCACGTCTTACATGACACAGTGCTCCACAACTCCTGAAGGGCAGAGCTCCTCACTGTGTTCTCCGTCTTGTCGCTCTTCATGCTGCTGTGTCTGTCGATGGTACACATGTGGCTTCAGCTTCCCTTCTCTATGTATACAGCGACACTAATACATTTGTCTTTTAAAACATAGAACTTTCACATTACTCCAGTGTTTTCAAAACCTTTAAACAGAGAATTTTGAAAACGCTGCTGACCTTTATCCTTGTTTTAGTAAACTCATGAATTGGGGTTTAGTTTGGACGAATGGAAACAGAGACTTGTTAATGACGATGAAGACACCCATGTTTGCTTCCTGATTGGGTCTTATCAGTCACAAATTTGTCCTAGAGGAGTTGCTGACCTTGTTGTCTATCCTTGCAGCCTTTGTGCAGTTAAAGATATCAGGCTTCCTGTTTAGACTGGCTCGAGCATGGCCAATGTACTGTATGTGAATGGTCATGCGATATGTGTTTTAGGCATGTTAGTATAGACAGAGATTATTTCTGAAACTGTGCTAAAACGGTTGTGTGAACAGAGATTATTTTCATTCAAAATGTATTTTTGTGGATGTAGTAAATATCAAATGTGCAGGGAGCAGAGTTAAAGGGGTCTTACGGAAGTCCAAGTGTATCCGAGATGATTGGAGTGTGCTGAGCCAGGTAGAGGAGCAGGCAGGCAGTAGGTGCATAGAAAGTCCAAAATTTTGTGTAGGAGATACAAGTTTGCCAAGGCGATTCTCTCAAAACAGTGTGAAACAGTGTGCAACAGGCTTTGAGGTACATAACAATACATTTCAAACTAAAAGCATGCACATAACAGAAAATGACCTCGCACATCTATAATGTTAGAGGTTAGTAGGTCAAAATTTGCAAAGAAACTCGCGCACACTGGCAAGCCCGTTGGCAACGTTTCTGTTCTAGACCTTCATCAGGCAAAACTACAAGCGCGCACATAAAAAAAAGAACAGCAATAAAACTATTTAGACACAATATATAAAATAATGCAATATTAAATAGGCACAGCAAACATAAAAATATTTTTTCAAAGGAAAGAAACAAAACCAATATTTCCGCCTTGTGACATTCAGAGCTCTTCCTAACATGCTTCCAATGCAAGTGCTGGTGCGACAGAATCCCCAGTCTCTGAAAAGATTGTATTTCAAAGCTGATCTAAAGCTAATATGAAGCTTCAGCACTCTGAGTTATCTGAGGTATCTCTTTGTGTTTTTCCTCACAGTGTTACTGAGGTGGTAGATAGATACTAACACAAAGAGGAAATTTCACACTAAAAAGATGTACCCTAGGAAGAGAGCAACATGATTAATCTAACTTAGACCACTGAAGCCTCATGCCAACCTGAGATGTATTTTTGCACAGAATGGTGACTGTGGATTTTGTCCCCTTTCACTTACAGCAGATGCACATTAGGAAGGGACATTTTAATGTGTAGTAAGAATAGGAAAAATGTTTACAGCAAGCAACACTTGTTTCTATATTCATATGGGCATGTAAATATTATTTAATGCAGATGTGAAAGATTGTGAACCTATGCTTTATTCTCTTGCTCTTGCCATCAAAGTTAAATAACAAGGTGCATGTCTGAAGGGGGCTATATAGTTGGGTGTCATCACCATAGCAATGAAAATCTGTGCTGTGTTTATAATTGAAATGTTTATTTAAAAAGTTCAAAGCTAGTTAATGTACAGAGTGGAGTGGAAACAGTTCGCCTCTATCCTGATTGACAGCTCCCTGTCTCCCAGCTACCTTGTCAGTCACAAGGTGGCCACACCCTAAAGCATACCCTGCTTTATCATCTATTTTCCTCTAAATGGGACCGTAATTTACTAAATGAACATCATGCTGTGTTGAAGAAGACTTGAAACTATCATTAGGAAAGTGTTTACTGAGGGAATAAATCAGCTGAGAAGTAGCAACATTTTTTCATGGACTTCTATACAATCACACTTGTTTTTGCAACTTCTATACAATCACACTTGTTTTTGCAACCAGTGAAGGCACTTCCACATTGGCTTCACTTTTCAGACGGGGAGGTTGCGGCTTGGTTACAGTAACGAGAGTAAATGTAATTCATTACTTCCACCCCTAAGCAGTAATAGCAGTAGTGGTAATAGATGCAGTAGTTATGGTTGTGGTAGTAATAGTCAACACATTCTCATCTCAATGCGTCATAACTGATGCTTTCAGACAGCGTGACAAAGCGTAAGGATTTTACGCTAAAGGTACCCTTCAGCGTCCGTATAAAACGCCCATACGTTGCAGCAACACAAGGGAGGCTAACCCTACCTGTTAGCACTGTGCGCAGCTGTAGGGTTAGCTGGTCGACATGCATACATTCAGTGACTTAGGTTTAGGTACTAACATTTCTGATGGTTGTGGTAAGGGTAGGGGCTTCGGGGGGCTGTCAACACCCCAGAGCGTCTCATGGAGACGCACCCAGTGCATCTCACACAGACGCTAAAGGGTACCTTTAGCGCCAAATAATAACACTTTGTCACTCTTTCTCAAATCGTCGGTATATGACACCCTGAGATGAGAACGGGCTCTAATAGTATCAGTAGTAGTAGTGGTTGTAGCAGTAGCATTAGTAGTAAGGTACTATTACTAGTATCTGATGTCAGTCATGTGTTGTTCCCTGCAGTGAGTGAGGCAGACAGTGTGGTGAAGGTGGCGGAGTGGCAGCAGACCTACTATGCCTCAGATTCTGGCATCCAATCAGGAGCCACCACAGTCCGGGATGATGAGAGCAGCACTGAGTACAGTGGCCGTAAGAATTACACTGGCAGTACTACTGCTCCTGCTAGTGCCAGCGCCGGCGGAGGGAACACAGCAGCTGGTGAACCAAAGAGCCCCACAGGTGAGAATTTCCATGACGCTTTAAAGGATCATTTCAGTATTTTTAATACAATAAATACAGTTTCGAAATTGCCCTTTAACTGAGAGTTGTTCATGTGTGTTGGTTTCTTTGGTTAATTTCTGTCATTCCTTTTTCTTCACTCCCTTTATCTTTGCTGACACTGGCTTTTATCATCTTGTTCTTTAACTCATCATCAAATGTGTGGTCTTTATTGTTGTGCATCTGTGTTGCTTTAGTCTTCTGTATTTATTGTTCTTGTTTTGGAACTGATATTTGTAGGAAGAAGACAACTTTATTAAACACTTATCTGGATCACCACCCTATTAACAGGGAAATTAAACCAAAATAATTCTTATTAATTATAATTTGATCAGTCTCTTAGGAAAGGATTGAATTTCCAACGATAGATTAACTTTTTCTTCTGCTTCAAAGAAAACACACACGTAACTTCCTACTGATTAAATCGTAATATTTATTAATTGCTAACTAACAGAATAAATGAAAAATTAATGAAACAAACAATAGCAGATATTGTGATGAAATAAACCTGATCTTATTCTCAATAGTGAAGTGAAGTAGGTTACCTGATTGTAAAAGCAAAAATGGTACGGCATTAACTTACCGCTATAGGGTACTTCTCTAAATGAATTATTCAACATCATCTCTTTATCACAGCAAAAAAAACATGGTTTATTCTACTGTTTGAAGGGCTGGCAGGGACAAGACATTCCTGCTGGCTTTTTGACGTGGTGTGCAGGCCATGGGATGTTTGACTAAACACAATTGCACAAAATGCTTTAATGTTTACAGCATTGCCTGTCAACCAGTATTCTAACCAAACATACTGCTCAGTCTGTTGCACTGTATATGATTGTTTACTGCTGTTAACACTCCATATATAACAGTGGTACTGTCCCCATTTCAACTGACACTCCTCCACCTTATCAAGAAACACATATGCAACAAAGACGGTGCTGGTGCAGAGGAAGCTTGACTCTAAACGTTCATAAATATGTACACTTACTTTGAATCATTTATCACCACAGATGAACCACACAAAGAATATTATATTGTTTTTAAACAGTAACATTTCTTGGGGGTGCATTGACACTCCTCGGCGGCCAGGCAGAACTCTGCAGCCGCTTCCCCCTCCCCTCTCTGCCTTTCAACCCTTCATGTCCCTCCAGTTCAGGTGCAGTCACTTATCCTAATGGAACCTGACTAGTATCTAACTTACGAAGCCAAATCTTACAATGCTTGGAAAGTTAAATGTTGACATAATGTCAGCTAACTGAGAGCTCATTAGTTTCAAACTTCACAAAGACAGCTTTTGTTCAAAGAATTATCACCCTAATGTCTACTACTTCTCTTGTAGACGGGTTTCTTGTATGCAAACACTACTGGATGTGCGCGCAGTCAGGGGGCAAAAGTGCTTTGGTCAGAAGACTGTCGTCAATCACTGCAATCAACGTAGATTTTGCATAGTTTGTAAATTCTTGTTGACTCAACAATAAACTGTCATTTCAGAGTTGGATCTGTTTGTTTGTGTTTCATTTAAAACATGCGCGACAACGTGGCAGGTCAGTGACCTTATGTTGTTCAAGTCAGCTGCTAGCCAAAAAGCTAAAGGAAGAGTGGAGAATCAGGGTATTCTTTCCACAGCTGTAAGTATTGCCATTAGGCCTACTGTGTCAAACAATGCAAAGAACATTGTCTTCCATTGTAAATTTTGTGACCAGCAGAAAGCTTTCAACAATGAGTAATTTTTTATTGAAGTAGAAAGAAACTCCAGCCGCTGCTGCCAGTGGTACATCCACTCAGCAGGAGAGAGTGGCATTAAGCTACGTTTAAGCTACATTAAGCTAAAATATCCACTTGTATCGTAAGTTAATAGTCTCACTTTTTTTTAAGTGTGAAGTCTGTGCGAGAACACATGCACATAAGACGCCCCCCGCGCACGTGCGTGTGCCTGCGCTCCCGATGATGACATCGTCCATCATGATGGTTCATTGTAGAAATTTTGTACACATCGCCCAACCCTACTTTAAATGCATACATTGTCTCCGCCAGTTTCTCGAGGATATCATGTTTCAGCTCCTTTGTCACTTTGAGATAGGTTGCATCCCTGAGATAGAACAGGTTACCTTGTCGGAGTCTATACTCAACATCAACAGCAAATTTGGGAATGTCAAAAACAAAAATCTATCCAGAAAGGAGTTTGACAGGATCTCAGTATCTGCCTGGCTGCATGTATCACAACATGATTCAGTTTGCGCAGTGACTGGTACAAGCTCAATCATAGGGATAATTTTGATGGTTGGCTTCTCTGGGAGCCAGCCAATCAAATCATCAAGTGTGTAAAATCATGTTGTCATCGTCATCTTTCTTATGTCTCCCTCGGAGACGATAACCCTCATGGTTAATTTTTGTTGCACAGCCATCTGGTATTAAGCAAATAACACATCGTCTCAGCATTACCATCAGTTCTCCTTGTACCCTGTATGATGATCATGGGAAGACATCATTCAACTCTGACATCTTAACAACACACATGGAGGTGACATCACTAAAGAGACGTCTGTAAGATCTCAAATGCTCACAGTACCATGCTGTCATTTTATGGCAGACAAACACAATTTCTGTGTTGGCTGTAACAATCTTTTCAGGGAGACCTGAGCATGAGCCAGTGAGAGTATCATGCCTGGATGATACTTGATTCCATCTAGACAGACAGATGACGCCTCAAGAACTGACCCTGGCTTTGTAATGTTTTGAGCAATCACTCTCTGAACAATCAAAGGGAAAGAGGAGAAAGTAAAACTGGAGTTACCTTTGTCATCTCAACGGATGGCCTGAAAAATGAGCTACATTCAAGATGATAACTGACTGCTTTCTAGTGTTTGGTAGCAAGTATCATGGCAACATTTTTGAAATTTTGAGCATTGCGAATTGCCTTTTCAAAGAACTTACAGTATGCTTCCCGTCGTAGTACATTGTCCAAACATCAGACAGGGCCAAATTTCCTTACAAGCTGAGTGTAATGTTCCAGATAGCGATATTTTGGCCTTATACGAAAACTTTATACGAAAAATTTTGATGCAGCAGCCATCTGTGCTCTGCTATCTTACGTCCAGGAAATGCAGTCTCTTCAGTATGCCTTGATGCCACAGCTAGCTCAATAATGTATTTGAGAAGCATGAAAATGTCCCTAGTGTTGTCACTCTCAGGAACAAAGTGACCAATGAGAAATAGAAGGAGCCTTAATAGACGCCACGCCTTTCCAATAATCTGAGGTGGATCTGTGTTTTGTCAGTAAATGTGTAATTAAAATACCTGAACACATGAAAGTGCTCAAGATTCTCAGTTAGAGGACATGCTCTTTTCACACCATAAGTTCGACTCAATCCTGGCTCGTCTCTCACCTACTGTACATCCCTATCACGGGAGTCGTTGTCTCTGAGTTGAAAGAAACCAGAATATACCTCTTGTTGCTGAGCATCACTACTGCTTGCCAAATACAATCTGCAGAACTTGTCAACTGTGAAGCTCTCCAGGAATCCTGCAATGGAGTGGTCACCAGCGGCAACATACAAGTCTGTGCCTTTCACACTTGCACCTTGTTGGTAAACACAATTTTGCTCCGATGACTTTTCAGGGAGACCTGAGCTCTGATGACTTTATATCATAGATAAGAGGTTCTCCTTGTTCTCTTTGTATCATAGATAAGAGGTTCTCCTTGTTCTCTTTGTATCATAGATAAGAGGTTCCAGCACTCATAACCACACTCATCAATGTAAACGCCAAGCGCAATTGTGAACTTGTCCCTCGCAAGAAGAGAGTTTTCATTAAAGTACTGCCCATCCATTTACTTTTTCTGCCATAGCTTTGTCTAACACGTCGGTTTTGTTAAGCAGCTTGTGGAGAATGGGAACAATGCAAGTGGTTTATTGGCTTTTTTCACAACATATTATGTAGGGTTTACCAGTGGAAACTCTCTGCATACATAGGCTGCTCTTATTTTTGCAGTACCTAAGGGTCCATCTTCCAAAATGCCACAAAATGCCATCATGTCACTTTCTGACACAGCACTGGTAACCTCTCTCACAACTGTTTCATCCATGTCAGCATATCTTTAGTACGGCCCTCACGCTGTGATGCAGAGCACTTTATAATAACTACACACTATAAAGCATTAGTTAAGTATTAGTAAATACGGATTTCATCATTTTTAAAGCATTGTTCATACATTAATATCATCAGCATGTGACATTTGCTCTTGAACAGCATCACTGTCATGGCTTACATAGTCACCAATGATTTCTGACTTGAACCTCTTGACGCTCCCTGTGTACTTTACTCATGTGGTTTTTAAATGTGGAGAAGACACTGCTTTCAAAGTTACAGTCTTTATAAGGGTACCTGACTTTATGGTTTACTTTTAAGTGTGCAGTAGCACGCAAATGGGTAAAGTAGTCAGTCTCAGAACAAGACTCAGCAAAACCTACATGACAGACAGCGAAACTTAACTTGTACATCTCGACTTGGTTGCTGATCCAAAGTTTTGGTTCGAAGTTAGGATATGCGTACTTTTAGTGCATTGAGTGATTTCAATGTACATAGACAATCCTGATGTAAACAAGGAAAATGTTATGTTCTTGCTAAACTTCCATGTTTTAGCCTATAATGTTTAAATATCTGTGATCTCTTTTCACAATTAAAGGGGCAATACTCTACACTTCCAAAGCATCTCTTCGTGTGTCCTGCAACACAATAACAAATAAGAGACAAGAGATTTAAACTGAGCTAGTTTATCACAACACTGTATCTGTATTTTGTATTTATTCTGTATTTTGAGACAGTTAAACCAGGTAAGGCCACATGACTCTACCTTTAGCTAATGATTAACATTAGCTAATTAATGTTACGTTTTGGACATTTTACTTAACGAAATTCTGTGCTTCTGATCAGTAATACTGGGATTGTCATTAAAAGTAAAATTC